CAGCACACACCCAACCACAGCTGAGCAGCAGCCAACAAGCAAGACGAAGAGCCAATCAAAGGCTCCTTTGAAAACTCCAGGTAGGAGAAAGGCAATCTCACTCTCTCACCTAAGGCTTAATTACAGAAGAGAACTTCCCTTCCCAGAAGTCTCTGTCTGTCAACCCCCATTTTCCCTAGGTTTTCTTCCACCCTGTTCTGGAACTCTGCAGTCTTGAGTTCGCCTTGACCCAACGAGGACCACAGGTGGTCCAGAAAGATGGTCAAACGCCACTTCTAAACCAGGATCCCAGAAGCAAAGACGCTGTCTTTCAGTTCTTCTCCAGCAAGCCTCCCCTTTCTCAAGTTACCAAAGAAACTTTACACACACACACACACACACACACACACACACACACACACACACACACTTACTTTAAAAATTGCATTTATATGTGTATGCATGTGTACATATTCGTGTGTCACAGTTCAAGTGTGGAAATCAGAGGACAACTTTCAGGAGTCAGCTCGCTCTCTACCATGTGGGTCCCAAGACTAGAACTCGGGTCGTCAGGCTTGGTGGCAAGTGCCTTTACCCATTGGGCCGTCCTACTGGCCCCGGAGAATTTTTTCATACTGCTAACTTGAGCAAAGCATTAGCTGGGGAATTGTGATAAGAGAAAAACAAAAAACTTGCAAACCAAAAGCTGTCATTGTCCAAAGATCCCTTGACCCCACAGAGGGGAAGAGAGACACACAGGGTGTTTTTCTAAGACTTCCACAGGTAAAAACTGAGGGTTGTTTATGATAAAAATCAAGTAGCATCTATGGGCAGTAATGCATGCCTGTAATCCCTGTACTTGGGGGAATTGAAACAGGAGGATCCTGTTCTAGACCAACCTGGGTTCCATAACAAGGCTCTGTCTGGAAAAAATTAAAAGAATTGGTTGCAGGCAGAAGGGGATGAGCTCATCATCCAATTGCATTATGGGATCTGAATGAATGCGAGCTTACTGGACTGATCTCTTACAGGCTAGAGGTAAATACAGAGAGCCTAGTCCATGACTGAGGCACCATGACCTGCTCCGGGCAGTCTTCCAGAAACATCTCCTTATCAGATTCTCTTCCATTTATTCTAGGATGAAGATGACTTCAGTGCTAATTTGCCTCACCCTGGGCCTGGTTCTGGTCTTTGGGAAAGGGTCTGCTTTACATCTTCAAGAGTCCCACACAGCCCATCAGGCCACTGACTTCGGAGTAAAAGTGTTTAAGCATGTGGTCCAGGCCTCCAAGGATCGGAACGTGGTTTTTTCTCCCTATGGGGTGTCCTCAGTGATGGCCATGCTGCAGCTGACCACAGCAGGGAAAACCCAGCGGCAGATCCAAGACGCTATGGGATTCAAAATCAACGGTGAGAGAAAGGGTAGAATGGGAGGTGGAGAGAGTCATGAGGTTCTCGAAGACTAGGGGCCAGAGCAAACAGGGAAGACAGAGGGGGCTAGCTGCAGCCCAGGGACCACCCATTTTCTCTCCAGCTTCTGGGTCAGATGATCTTGATTTGTTCATGATGTACCCAACATAGATATAGAACATAAAAACTGTGCTTGTATCCCCTTGGCGCTGAGGATATAGCTCGCCTAGCATGCACAAAGCCCTGGGTCTATCCCCAGCACCAAATGAAACTGGAGATGGTGGTGTAGAGCTATAACCACATTCCTTGGGAAGTGGAGGCAGGAGGGTCAGGAGTTCAGGCTCGTACTTTAGCTATGTATTGAGCTCAGCAACAGCTTGGATTGCATGAGACCTTAAAAAAAGAAAAAGAAAGAAAGAACCCTATGACCTTAACTCTTGTAAACTCTGTTTTATAATCTACAAAGTGGGAACAATTGAAAAATGCCTACCATACAAGGCTGAGTATATATGTAATAGGATTATGAACATAAATTACTTGATAACATTATTATTATACAAACAACCTAGCTATGGTGGTACATACCTGTAATCCCAGCCCTTGGGAGCCTGAGGGAGGAGGAGGATGAATTTGAGGCCAGCCTGGGCTACATAGCAAGAGCCACTCCAGGCTGGGATATAGAGCAAGACCCAGTCACAAAGCCAAATACAAGAGCAAGTCAAGGAGGGTGGCTCGTAATGTAATCTCAGCACTTGTGAAGCCATGGGAGGGCTGTTGCAAGGGTAAGGGGCAGGAGTGGAAGCAAACTAATGTTTATAATTTAAGAATTGAGGGGGGGGCTGGAGAGATGGCTCAGAGGTTAAGAGCACCGACTGCTCTTCCAAAGGTCCTGAGTTCAATTCCCAGCACCTACATTGTGGTTCACAATCATCCATAATGAGATCTGATGCCCTCTTCTGGCCTGCACTACAAATAATAAATGAATCTTTCTTAAAATTGAGAATGTTCTAATGTAAAGAAAATATTAGGAGCTGAGACTCTTTGGGAAAGGATGCACAAAGGGTTAAAATTTGAGAGCTGTAGTAGAGTATAGTAGTATATGCCTCTAATCCCAGCACAGGGGAGGTAAAGGTAGGGGGACTTCTGTTAGCTTCCCGGACACAGTGAGTGGCAAGCCAGTCTATGCAGTCTGTGTTAAGGTGTGAAACCCTTCTCAGAGAGGAATGGGGAGAGGAGAAGAGGAAAGGAGAGAGGGAGACAGCATGGTGTCACACACCTTTAGCCCCAGGACTCAGGAGGTAGGCAGGCAGTTCTATGTAAGTTCAAAGCAAGCTGGAACTAAACAGTAGTGTTCAGCCACCCCGAGGTGCCCGGTGAGACCTTTCAAAAAGCTGAACAAGTAAAAAAGAAAGAAAGAAAGAAAGAAAGAAAGAAAGAAAGAAAGAAAGAAAGAGGAGGGAGGGTGAGAAAGAGGGAGAGAAAAAGAAAGAGTTACAGTTTG